TTAGAGGAAGCTGCAGCACACTAGCCGTACAGAAGCCCAAGCTCCTGCGACAGATTGATTTATTTTAACGATAACAGTCTTGGTTTTTCATTCGTGGAATTTCAATGTCTTTTAGGGCGGGTCTGGCTGCCATCAAATATTCGGACCGTTTTGGGATATTTTCACACAGATAAAAAATATCACTGCTCTGGCTGCCAATTTTGGATAAATATTATCAAGATATTCGGCCAAAACAAAACACGATAAAACATATTCAAGTATTGACAAGATACTCGGAGTATGTATAGGTAGTCCTTCCCATATGTCATGTACTGTTTCAAAATGTGCATAAATCGCCTCTATCACTTCGTAACTTGTACGATTGTTCCAAGTGCTATTAATAGTTTCCTACGTTTTGACCTCTTTTTCTTCGATTTTTTACGCAACTCACTATACCAAAAGTAGAAAAAGCGGTCCTTGACGTCTTTTTCTAAATCGTGAAAAAAAGAGGTAAATCGATTTTGATTGGCTCATGCTATTTCATAAAAAATCCTTTTATTTCACGATTTAGAAAAAGACGTCAAGGATCTCTTTTCTACTTTTGGTATAGTGAGTTGCGTAAAAAATCGCAGAAAAAGAGGTAAAAAAGTAGGAAACTATTAATAGCACTTGGAACCACTTTGCCATTTGCTAAAAATATCTACAGTACTTGGAACAGGCCCTAAACACATTAACATAAAATCACATTGGGTATACTGTAGAGGTTTGTATTTACCAGGTAAGTACCTGTATTTGATTTCTTGCTTCTACTCTAACGTTAATCGAGTTATTCTCATTCTGGGTTCTACTACCGGTACTCCCGTTTCACTTTTATCTCAATTTCTTTTATTACTCTTCTCGAGAAGCACCATTCTGTGATCTTTAACTCCCGCTTCACTTTCTTTCTTCTCTCAGCGAGTTATTTCCCTTTTAACCGCTTCTACTCCCGTTTCACTCTGTGAAAGAGTGAAACGGGAAATAACTGTGAACTCCTAAGCGGGCCCCTTGGTCTCTCTCTATGGTTTTATAAGCGACAGACGTTTTTGACGCCGCCCAGAGCCCGTACGTGTCTGTGATGCAACCAGCGAAGGCGCTGCCAAAGCACTGGCGGTTCCCACGGGGCCCCCAGTCCAAGTACAGGTGGGATTCGACCACCCAACGCGTGATCGACATGCTCCCTCCCCCGTTGCCGACCGCACTCCTGTCAAGCTCCCCCGACGGATGAGTGCCACCCCGTCCAAACTGCAGTCTCGGCAGCGGAAATCAGAGGACTTTCTGTGCGGTGGCGTAGGGTGCCAATAATGTCGGCGTGTACTCCACACTGTCTCACTGTACTCGGCGCTACGTGAATAAGAACCGCCGATGATAGACATGACCGGAATGATTATCGTTTTTTGCATGCTACCGTTACAAAAGGAGATGTCGTTTTTGTTGTGCTATTGTAGCAACATGCGACGTGTGCACAAAGCCAAACATGCCGACCCGACGGCTCCTACTGCTGCTGCTGCTTTGGACGGAGCCGTGCGGCAGTTTGAACGCGCCCGAGACGATGCGGTGAAAGCCATCGACTCGTTGTCATCGTCGGTGGCCAACGTGGCGGACGTCGCCACCTCCACCTCTTCCCCACCAGACAGAGCAGCCTTGATCGCGCAGACTGTCGACGACTTCGTCAAGTATCTCGTGACGAGGTTCGACGTGAGCAACCTCGAGGGGCTGACTTCCCTCGCAAAAGCATTCGTGTTCCACCCGAGCGAAAAGTCGCCCCAAGTCGATGCGTTTGTGGCAAATGGACTCGACGTGGTGCTGCATGCGAGGCGATGTGCGGCCCAAGGTGTGCCCGGGACCCTCGTGGTGCTTCCAGCGACGGCGGACGAGGCCCTGGAAAGCCTCACGGATGGCCAAATCGAATTCCTGCAGTTGAAAGTGGCGCAGGTGAAGCGAGACCGGCGTGCCGTTGCGGAGGGGAAACCAAATGCAGTGGGGGCGGGCGGCAGTGTGCCCGTTAAGCCCAACCGTAAGATTCCCAAGGTGACGAAGGTGCCACGACCGAGTCAAGTGCTCGCTTGACCTCCGTTATTCGCACGAGGAATTGACAAACTCATGCCCCCAATTGCTTATAATTGCAATGAAATCTCGTAGTGCAAGAATGTTTCATTGTGTCGCGTCACCACTACAGAGCGCTACCCCATGACAATGACATGCTGACAAAACAGTGTACCAACTTGGTTGGCTTGAGTGTTCAATCAAAGGCGAAGCGGACAATAACTACTGGTAGTCCATGTCGTCACAACTTCACAATTGTCCATTGTCATATTGTGCTATTCACCCAATTGAGTCAATTTGCCAATCGCATTTGACCCAATTTTGTACAAACTAAAGTATACAATGTTCAGTACACTACACCATTTTGCGTTTATTTTCAGCTTTATTTCAAAATATTTCC